GCTGTAATAACGATAATGTTTTACTGCTATAATATTTACTACTATTATTATTGCTTGCAATAGCAAAATACCTCAAGGCAAGAGCTGAGGTTAGAGTTGTTTGTACCAGAGTCTAGAGAAGATAAGGTTCTCTAAAACTGGGAAAAAATCAGGAGGGAATAACAAAATATTTTTTGTAGGCACTAGGATTGTACTGGGCACCAAATTAAACTATCAGATACCAGATTCAACATAAACAAAAGCTAATAGTTCTATGTAGGTCGTGTGCCACAAGTCACTGGAAGCCAGAGGACCACTATTAAGAAGTGCCACGATACATCAGCACTATTGTTCTCCACACTGCACAGCTGCTACTCCCTGCTGCTGGAGACATAATATTGTGGTGGGTGGAGCTGCAGCCTGGCCACATGCAGCTGCTGTTATGCTTTCAGTAGAAACAAGCACACAGTTATTACTTCAGAGGACTTAAATGTGCAATGTGTTGGACAGGCAAAACAGGAGTAAAAAGTTAGTTATCCTCCTTTTATTAAGGGCAAATTGAGCAAGAGGCTGTTACGTGACCTGTCCAGTGTCACCCAATAAATCAGTCTCAGAGCCCGGAGCTGAGCTGAGGGTCTGGGGTCTCCCTCAGTGCCTGAATTAGGGGATCATGCTTTCCCCTCTGCTAGCCACCAAAATCTATCAACTGAAAACAGAATTGGAAGACATTGAGTTGTCAGGCTCAGAAGTATCTGTTTTTCCATGGAAACCTCTTTGCAGTGACAGCTAAGCTTGTGCAAGGAGGGAAGTGTTTCTCATCATGCGAGAGCTGTCAGGGAGCTGTACTGTGCAAAATGCTGTAGCTGTGTGGCTCCCTTCTGGAGAGTCTTGTCCTGCAGCCAGGCAGCATACAGCCCCATTCCCAACAATTCAGCTGTAGTTCTGCCTGCTTGGTAATTTTTCACTGTGGTCACACCGGAATCACAACCTTGTTTTCTGTTGTCTGGCTGTTACTGGTGATGTATGAATAAGTAAGAAAGACAGCTTTATTTTCATAAGCTAACTTGTGCCTGGAGTAACAGAGAGTGAGAGGGGTGCACTTAATCATAACTGCAGGGCCCGACCGGGAAACAATGACAGAGCTTTGGCTGCTAGTAATGGCATTTTATAATAAAAGAGTTATTATAATAATAACTCTTAGGAAGAAGACACAAGCAGCTCAGAAGGCTGAACGATTCAAATTCCTCATGCTATCCACCACCTTCTCATCTGCTGGAAGAGTAACTCACATAACTGTTTCTGCTTGCTGTTTTCAAAAGGTCGTGGTCTTTCTCCTCAGAAAATTTGAATTCAGATTGTGGTATGATCAGGGGTAAAGTGAAGCTGGTAAGAGTTTCTGCAGAACTGCAAGCACCTTGCAGGGAAGGCGTGAATAATGGCAGAGGGATAGGTTGGGGCAAGGGGATGGTCAGAGAACTGTGGACAAGGGCAGTGGTCATTGTGCCTGCTTGGCACCATGCATTCCTTTGGGCAGTGCCTCATTTCTAGAACTTCATCATGCCTTTGAAAAGGTAAATACTAAATTAAATAACTAGTTGTGCTCAGTTACTCTGGATAGATATTCTCACAAAAATTCATTAATATAAGAAATTTTTATTAAAGCTTTGAGTGAAATATTTTTAGTTGTTTGTTGGAAGAGCAAAACTTTTTATTTTATTTTATTTTGTTTGAACTTTTAGATACCTAGAATAGTGTGGTGTGTATGGTATATATTCTGCATCTGTCTTATGTATCACATTGATATTACTTAAAATTAGAAGGGTTGAACATTTAGATGTGGTTATTTTGCTATCTTCAGATCATAATACTCGGGGAATTTTTTCCAGAGAATATTTCTGAATTTCTTTTTTCTATATTGATTCAGAATGAAAACATATATAATTTCTAACCGTCACAATTTGCTGTGCAGCTGAAGTTCTGGTTTCCTGATCACTTCTGCCCTAAGTCAAGATCATAGAGACAATGTAAATGGAAGTAATATATTCATCTTTGGCAGAGATAGCAACACTATTCCAGCCTGGAGAAATCAGAAATGCAACTAGAGAAGATAGAAAACATATTTCCATAACTTTCTCCAAGGTGGCTTGGGAGACAAGCCATCACCTCTGCCTAGTAGGTTTTTAGACAACAGCAGGAGTTACAACAGCCTGACAAGTAGCATAATGCTCTACCCTAGAATAGTACATGAACATGTGCACATTCCCAGGCTGTTGCAAAAGCCAATTAAAGTGTGTTAGCTACCACATTGTACTTTGTATTTGTGACAAGCTAAAAGGACACATACAGGCAGTTGTTCTGGCTCGGTTGATACACATTAAGTCACACAATCTGATCCATGTATCTAAGCCCTAAAGCTTACATGATGTTAATTTCTGCCTTCATCCATATCCCATACCAAGCCTCAAGGAATGCTGGTGAGAGGAGGATTTGTTCTGGTGTCTTCAGAAATAAAGGCAAAAGGGGAAGGAAGTTATACAGCTACAATAAATATGCGTGAACATAATTTCCTGAGCCTTTTAAGTTTATCTTAGCATGATAAATGATAACTGAGAAATAAGTATTTCAGGGGTACATTGTCAGAACTGAGATTTTGAACTGGGAGGTGGGAAAGGAAAACCATTAATAAGCAGCAAGGTTCATTCATATTTTATTATTCATCAGTTTGAAGGCTGAACCCTGTGCCTTGTTGGAAAATGCATGGGGCTAAAATAATGAAAGCAAATTGATGCTCTGCAGTAAGGAAGTTCAGTATCTGCTTCTTGCAAATGGAATTCTAACATTTCTTTTGATGTTATCAGTGCTATCCTGAGCAGGATCTGTGGACTGCTGAGTTGTGAAATGTGCTGTTAGAATATGGGCAGGGTCACTGTCCCCCTACCAGCTGTGCCAATCCATTCCAGCCCAACTGCACAGTCCTTTACTAGCTATGGTAGCTTCTTGTGTTTATTTATTCTGTCTCAACTGTAAGGGAGTGCTTACAAAGAATAAGCAGTCTTCCAGCACAGAATCAACAAGAGTTGGGTTGAATTGTGCTCTTCAGCCTTTTTTGGCTAAGACTTGTTTCAGCTAGTTGAGATCCCTTTCATATTTCCTCCTTATGTGCTCCTTCCTTGCAGCACCTCATGCTCTCTCTAGTGTGTTCCATGTGTCCCACAGGTTGAGAGATGCAACAGTTTATTTGTACAGAAAATAATCAGTTGCTTAGGATGCATCCACTTCTAACTTCCCATTGCCGTCATTTTCTGGTGCATTGCACTCTGTTAATATTACCAGTTTTCAGTAGCACCAATGGGGTGATAAATGTGTGGTGGTCTTTGATATGATCCTTTCTGCTGTCCCCTAGATTTTCCACCTTCTTAAAAAATTAATTATGGAGCATAATGTGAAAAATTAAATCAATATATTATCTCTAATATATAGTGGAAAAGGAGAGACATCATTAGAAAACGAGGTCTGGTGAGGGCATGTTGTGATTAGGATAGAGTAGGATGATCCTGAACGGTGATGTGGAGTGGACTTGGTGATCTCTCAAGGTTATTTCTAGATTGATTTCCACTCACTGCTTGAATGCTTTCATAATATTATGATATATTTGTTCTGTGCATTGGCCACTCACTTCTGCTCACATTCTTTGAAACAGCATTCAAGACACGTGGAGGTTACTGGCTTTCCACTGGATTAGAGATGCCACTGGAGAGTATCACAGTCACCTGACCTATCCTAACATCTTCCTAGCCAATTATATATTTGAATGAATCACTTCTGTCATTATGCCTTGCTTATCAGCCCAATCTTGTCTTGAACCACACTGAAATGTTAGTAATACATCATTGGTCCTACATAAGTGATATATAGTGATGATTTAATGCTTTTAGTGCACTGCCATGGTCATACATCCAGTTTTATGAGTATAGCTGGGATTGGAAAATGTGCCCTCAGAGAATGATGCTTAATTGCTTTCTCAAAAGGTTGGAAAACAATGTTCAATCCCAGTCCTAGGGCTCTTACTGAGTAGGGCCTTTACTGCATGGGTCCCTCTGTTAAAATACCATTCCCTTTCCTGTCTTTGACTTGATCCAAATGAAGTTTTCCCTTTTGCTCCATCCTCTGTTACCAGAGCATCATTTCAATCACTTCTCTTATTTACATTTTATACAGCACGTTTCAGCAGAGATAATTAAGACCTTATCTATACAAACATTCACTTTTCAGTTGATTTTTAAGCAGCGCAAACCTTCCAGACACTTTTGATTTAAAACACGTTTTACTGTAGCTGAAGCCAGCTGCTAATCAGTGTAAGCTAAACCAAAATAAGCCCATCTAAAACTGAAATAATAATTTCTATGCAGCATTCCACACAGTCACCTAAATGACTTTTAAATTACTCTCTTAAATGAAAACAGTGCAACTTTCTTATGTAGATAAACTTGTAGAATTCAGTATTTTCTTGAGCAAAAGAGCCTTCCTTTGTGACTGAGGAAAAAAAATCCCTGAAACTAGTGGTGGAGAGCATGAGAGGAGAATCATTTGTTATACTGAACCTTATTCTTCAATTAAATTATCTCCATCAGACTATGAAGAGATCTTCATCTTAGATGATCATTTTACCAACACTCACTTCTCACGAGGATTCGCCACCATTGTATCCCAAAATCAAGCAGCATTCAGATTTGTCTGGGTGATGTATTTTTGTCAGCATGACAAAGGTTCCCACAGTGTTTAATTACTCAGACTAGCCAGGGGAGAAGGAAATAAATGAGCCGTGCTGAGTTTGCTGTGCCAGGACTGCATAAGCAGGAACCTTCCAAACGCATGAAGGGAGGCAGCGCCCCAACTTCTGCCCTCTCTTTCTGCTTCTGCCTTCTCTTTCCACTGACTGTCCCCCTCCAGATTTCATGTTTGTTTTCCATTGATTGACTGTCTTTTGTCTCATGATCTTTTTGCAATTTGCTCATTTCCAGGGCAGCAGGTTCTTGGCTTGGTGGAGAACCAGAGTGATTGGTATTTGGGCAACCTTTGGAAGAATCATCGGCCCTGGCCAGCTCTTGGGAGGGGGTACAACACAGGTAAGTCCTGAGGGTTTTCTTTGAATTAATGTCTGCATTGAGCATGCAGTCAGTCTCCTGATACAGAGTATGAGATGTGGTGGCTTTTACCTCCCTTCCTAACCCACTGCAAAATTTGTCATTTAAAGCAGTAAATATGATGCATTGTGATGGATTTTAAAGTTTCTGATACTATGCTACTCTGAGGACAGTATTTTCCTTCTCTAAATGGTCTTAAGAGAGATTGTATGGCGTCCTTTGGGGAAGGATAGAGCTTTTCAGCAGTCTGACACACCCTCAGCACATCTCCTACAAGATTTCTATCCATGATAAAGCATATGTTGACCCAGCAAGAGGAAGAGAATAGGAATCAAGGCTCATTTTCTGTAGAGGTAAACAGTATTACAAAATGTCAGCCCCATAAAGATGTAACTCCTACAGGACAGCAACAGGGTCATAATTGTCCTAATAAAATGCAGATTACTAGCCATCAATTTCCTCTGCAGTGAGAAAGGAATAAAAGCACTAGATCAGATAATTTACTAGGTTACAGGAGACACATCTTCCCACTGATTTGTGTTTGGTATGTGAAAAAACATACCAGCTGCATAAAGAACACACATGTACTTCTAAATCTTTTTGATGGTAGGCTTTACATGCTGATGCAGTGATGCAGTTAGGTTCCCACTCTGTTTGTAAGAAAAGGGCAGAACAGATGGTGAAGCCTCCATTTAGAAAATATTAGTCCATTTAAATATCCCTGCACTGTCAGGAAATTATTCACCATAATAGTAGTTTTGCTTTGCAAAAATATACTAGATTGAATTAAACAGACTGACTAGAAAAAAGATTGCACACGTTGTGGTTGGGTTATCTGTCTTTCTATATTCTTTTGTATATTTGGGGTAATTACACCAGGTTTTGTGAATTTGTATTTAAAATTTCTTTGTTCTGTGAAAAATTTTCAAAATAATAGCCTAACAGAACATACATAGATACAGAGACAAAATTTTGCAAAGGAGGTTTGTTTCTTCGTTCTGCACTTGCCAGAGCAGAACTGAATCTCTAAATACTTGGGCTGCCTGCCCGTCCCCCCACCTTCACAAAAAAGCAAACAGAGCTAAGTTTCATGGATTTGTCCTGAAAGCTTATGTTACACAAAACTAATCTTGTTGATGTAATTTCTGTTCAGTGTTACACCACAAAGCAGTATCTTTTGTTCTCCTGAGAGATGACCACCTTTTATAGTTTCCTTCTGCTGCATTTTTGCTTTTTCCTTTCTGCCATTTTAATGCTGGCAGAGAGAAATGTGTCATGGCCACATAACATTAGAATATCCTAGAAATATATGATGGGTAGTATCTAAAATGCAATTATGTAAGTAACAGTGCTGCAAATCTTTAGTTTATATTGTCTTAAGTTACTGTTCCAAATGTTTTATAGGGATACCAAATGTCAGGATATCACAGAATTAATCAACTAAAAGCAAAAATAAGTGAATGTCTTCAGTCCTTCACATAAATTGTATATGTGAATGCTTGGTACATTAGTACGTACCTACCAGGCCAGGCATTATCCTGCACATTATTTTAGCCTGCTCACAATTCTTTTTTCCAGGTAACTCACCTGTTAAACTCACCTGTTAACTTTGTTTTAGATGGTAAACAAGAAGGTAGGTGATGAATGGAAGATTAACAAGTGATTGTAAGAAGTGGAATGATGTTTTTTGTAGTATGTGGAACAAGAGGTCACTGAGTGAAACAGTGCAACCTCTGAGAAGCAGCAAACAATGTTATTGACAGAATCAGCATAATTTACTCTAATTTTCTTAATTGAATTCATTGTTTGCCTCAGTAAATCTAGCAGAGATTGGAGGTATAAATCTCTCAGGGAAGATGAAATACCAAGTGAACTAGAGCTTGCTTGATGTGTTCCGTAAACTAAAATAATTGACACTAAACGTAACACTGGGACAAGGAGATTCAGAAAACTGAAGGGGGGAGTGGACAGGAATGATAGGAAATAACTCTTAGGAAAACACTCATGAAAGACATAGGCCAGAAAAAGAAAGACTCAGAAAGCTGGGGAGGGTCTTTATGCCAGAGAGGGTACTGATAGGATAAGGGATAATTGTTTAAAACTGAAAGAGGGTAGATTTGGGTTAGACATCAGGAAGAAATTCTTTATCATGAGGGTAGTAAGGTGCTGGAATAGGTTACCCAGGGAGGTTTTGGAAGCCCCCTGCCTGGAGGTGTTTAAGGCCAGGTTGGATGAGGCTTTGTGCAACCTGGTCAAATGTGAGGTGTCCCTGCTCATAGCAGGGAGGTTGGAACCTAATGACCTTTAAGGTCTCTTCCAACCTTAACCATTCTATGATTCTACAACTGTGATAAATGCAACTGCTTAGAGCAGTACTTAGGAACAGTGAAAGGGCCCCCGAAACCTAGAACTTTAGTCAGGTAAACAAAGCTGGATCATGGGGAAGCTCTCAGACAGACTTTGCTCTTGCTCTTGGGAGAGTGTTTACTACAATCCTAAGAAAATAGATTTTTATGTGCAGATTTGATGCAGAAGCAATCCTCAGAGTCAAAATTCTTCCACTCCTTCCTCCCAGTTTCTGAAGCAAATGCTTTATCTTTCACTCCTGCATTTCTATGTTTGAGCCACTCTGGACAACAAACAGTGCAACCTCTGAGAAGCAGCAAACAATGTTATTGACAGAATCAGCATAATTTACTCTAATTTTCTTAATTGAATTCATTGTTTGCCTCAGTAAATCTAGCAGAGATTGGAGGTATAAATCTCTCAGGGAAGATGAAATACCAAGTGAACTAGAGCTTGCTTGATGTGTTCCGTAAACTAAAATAATTGACACTAAACGTAACACTGGGACAAGGAGATTCAGAAAACTGAAGGGGGGAGTGGACAGGAATGATAGGAAATAACTCTTAGGAAAACACTCATGAAAGACATAGGCCAGAAAAAGAAAGACTCAGAAAGCTGGGGAGGGTCTTTATGCCAGAGAGGGTACTGATAGGATAAGGGATAATTGTTTAAAACTGAAAGAGGGTAGATTTGGGTTAGACATCAGGAAGAAATTCTTTATCATGAGGGTAGTAAGGTGCTGGAATAGGTTACCCAGGGAGGTTTTGGAAGCCCCCTGCCTGGAGGTGTTTAAGGCCAGGTTGGATGAGGCTTTGTGCAACCTGGTCAAATGTGAGGTGTCCCTGCTCATAGCAGGGAGGTTGGAACCTAATGACCTTTAAGGTCCCTTCCAACCTTAACCATTCTATGATTCTACAACTGTGATAAATGCAACTGCTTAGAGCAGTACTTAGGAACAGTGAAAGGGCCCCCGAAACCTAGAACTTTAGTCAGGTAAACAAAGCTGGATCATGGGGAAGCTCTCAGACAGACTTTGCTCTTGCTCTTGGGAGAGTGTTTACTACAATCCTAAGAAAATAGATTTTTATGTGCAGATTTGATGCAGAAGCAATCCTCAGAGTCAAAATTCTTCCACTCCTTCCTCCCAGTTTCTGAAGCAAATACTTTATCTTTCACTCCTGCATTTCTATGTTTGAGCCACTCTGGACAACATATAGGTCTGGGGAGTCCCAGAAGGCAGATACATTAAAGACTCAGGTGTGTTTGTTCCTTCTCTAGCTCTTTAAACCCTGTTAAGCGTGTGTGTTCTCCTGTTGCTTTGTGCCCAGGCCAAATCTCCTGACAGCCAACACGAATTTTCAAGGAAAGATTTTATTTTGTTGTTTTTCTTCCTTCTTCCTCATTTGCACAGGCAGATAATAGAAGTCATACTGCAGTCCATAATAATATAATCTTAGGAAAACCAGATCCAACTCAGAAGTCAATTCAGTGACAATTTAATTGGTGTCTTAGTTAGAACCATTCTTTATTTGAGATAACATTGCCTTACTCAAGCCATTTTAAACACAAAGGTACCCAGGTTTTTTTGTACCTCGTTGGCCAAAACTGAGTAAGCTGCTTAATAAAATACTTCTTTTATATATCATCCAGTCCATTTTGCTTGTCTACACTAAGATTAGCTCTTACAGACTCCCAATACATTAGTTAAAGCACACTTTTCTGTCTTTATATCGTCTTTCATGGACTAAACTGTGCTTTCAAAATTGTTGCCTGAATCACACTATGATTTTTGTCTTTACAGATGTTAAACTGACAACTCCAGAATTGCACTGTATGGTTTGATGTTAATTTCTGAAGTAACAGTCATCTTAGAACTACGATAATATCTTGTGAAAGACATTCTAAACATAAAAGCTTTTAGTACTTTGCCCTAAACTTTTCGTCATGGTGGAGAATAGCTTTTAAAAGCAGTTTCTGTTGACTGCTGCCATGATTTCAGACCACTTCCTCAGGTGGTGTGGATCACCCCTGGTTTCTGGCTTTAGTGCAGCAGTGGTAACTTACATCATCATATCATAAAATCATAGAATGGTTTGGGTAGGAAGGCACCTTAAAGATCACCTAGTTCCAGCCCTCCTGCATGGGCAGGGACACCTCACACTAGATCAGGTTGCTCAGAGCCCCATCCAGCCTGGCCTTGAATGCTTCCAGGGTTGGGGCTTCCACAACTTCAGCTTAGAAAGACTCCATGCCTTTCATATGAACCTTTAGGATAGATCTGTGCCTGTAAAATGGATGCCAGGGAGGATGTTGTCAAAACTTTGGGCCAGGGGTTTTCAGACTTCTAGGCTACAGAAGTCTGTCCTGAGGATTAGAGTCTCATCTAGTAGCTGCCTCAGTGCAACTAGTAGATACTGTAAGGAGGTGCCTCAACAGCTTGAGCTGAGAATTCATACTCCCACGCTGAGAGATGTCACATTACCAGATTTGTGGATGAGAACAGAAGGGAATGGCTGGCACCTAACCATTACCAGGCTACGTGTGCACCGTGCGTTATTACTCCCATGTTTGTAATGACTGATAGAATGCTGGAATGAATTCCCTTCCTTTATTGTTTCCCTGAAGAAAAGGACCTA